GCCGCCGCAGGGCCACCCGGCCGGCGGCCCGCCCCACACCTTCCCCATCATGTGCCCGATCCTGCCCGCCCAGCAGCTGCCCCCTCCCCACACCCCTCACCACATGATGGCCCAGGGCAGCATGCAGCCCACCATGCAGTACATCCACCACCATCAGCACCAAGGTGAGGAATACACTGTGTTTGGCGAAGCTTCCTCCGCGTTCTCACATTCTTTTATAGTTTTTGCATCGGAGATTTATTAATTGGAACATGTACCATTCTAATGATCTTGTTACAAAGATTTTCAATGAAAAAAGTACAATATTTGTAAATTTCTTCGAAGAGGGTTGTGAGATACATAAAATATCTTTCAGGAGATTCAATACCGTGGGTTCCCAACAGGTTAAATATCCTGGGAGTCAATGGAATTCTGAAAGGGGGTAAAGGAATATCAAGCAGTTGATTGCGGGTCAGTAGCGCAGTTCAAACTCATGGTTTAACAGTATAATCAATATCCTATTGATTAAAAAAGTATTAAAGAACTTAATTAACTGTTTTCTAATGTAAAGCAATGAAACATGTAAAAACAATTTACAAATTTGGTCCTCTTTTTTGAATCCTTTGTTCATTCTTAGAAATTAGGATGTTTAAAAAACTCAGCAAGTTATAACTATGCATTGACAACAAAACATTATTCTGCATGTACTCTCCACAGTACACCCTGGAGAAATGTAATGGCCAGTTCTTAAAAATCAACATTTTGAAACCAATACATTTCACTGAAGATTGGTAACTCAACTACCCAAAAGCAGAAGCCTTGATAATCCTTGATAATTGGGTAATCAAGAAATTTACCAGAATATTGGGGATTGAAATTGTTATCTTTAAGGCATTTACATGCAATTTATTTTGTCTAAATTATGGATGCGGTACATTAAAGTAAAAGGTCTGTAAGAGGTCTGTAAAGCAAACATTGTTTTAAAAGGAGTCAATGAAAGAAAAAGGTTAGGGATTCCTGTTCTGTACTAATAATTTCTTTTGTGCTTTTCTTCTCCTTTCCAATTCTAGAGAATTGATCTCTTTTAAAAAATTAATACAATCTCATGAAATTTCTCCCAAAAATGATAGAAGAAAAAAAAACGTGAGTTCTAAATTTGCCTTGCAACTGTTTACATTGTCATGCCTTTTGTGTGGGTTTGTGATAGTAAATAATTTTTACAGTTTTGAATGAGTGATTTGTAACTATTGGTTTAACAACAATTCTTTCACTTTTGTGTTGAGAATAATACATATTCTATTGTGAATTCAGTCAGTATCTAGAAAGCCAAGGAAAGCATTGAAAATGCATGGAAATCAAAAAACAAATAATATTGAAGATAATTAGGAGGAAATATCTTTTAACATCAAAATTCATGCAGTTGATGAGAGATACTATTACTAAACAAAAATGACATTGAATTATGGTGTCAGAAACTGGACTTTAAAAAAGTTACAGTAAACTAAACAGTGGAACTGGTGAGTGAGAATAATCTTCAGAATATTGAAGGAAAGGAATTGATGAAAATTGTGAAATTAGTGTGAAGAAAGAAACTGGTAATAGCCCACAAAGATAACTGAATATCACAGTTGGGGTAACTTCCGTGAGTAAACCTCATAACAGAAAGTTAATTCTGCAAGGAAGGCAGGAAGAAGAACCATGAAAACAATGAGAGTACATGTGAAGAATGTAAGGCAGTCCTGAGTTAATGTCATCATTGATTGAGAAGGAAATGGCAAAAAGCTATTTAGATCAAAAAGTATAGATCATACCGAAAGAAAACTACCAGAAATGAAGTAGGAGAAGCAGGAACGCATTTTTAATGGACTAAACCTAAGCACTACATCTACAAACAAAAAAGAACTATCTTTGAAGTGTTCTTTCTTAAGTGTCATCACCTTTGCAAATTATCATAAAAATATAGAGAAGATTCATTTTCACAAATTTTCCCTCACTGTTAAGGTTAAGGGAAGAAGTTTTCTTTTAATACAAATCACATTTGTGTATTGGTCAATTAATGTGAGTGACTTGGCTCATGAAATTTCATGTTGGGGAAATGGGAATTAACAAGGTAAATACTTGGAAAATGTAAGGAAAACGTATTTTGGGAACTGGTGAGCACCTTGATCTTCTCTACACATGATGTCTTAAACAAAATATTTAGGAATCAAGCTTTAATCATTCGTGCCTGACATCAATCCTTTGTACTTTTTCCCTGTTTTGAAAATTCATCCTTCAATTTGAGCTTCACATGGTTAAAACTCAAGTTGAGTTCGACAGTTTCGTAGAGGTATTTTTGAAATTATCTACAGTTGCTATTACATTACAGATGTGCAATGCTTTTGAGGGATCATCGATTTTTGCTTTTGATGCTAGTTTATGAAACAATTCACAGATGCATTTTGCACTTGTACTTTAAGACTTTTTAAGCTTTAGTTTTGTGCTATGTGCAGGAACAGAAATGCCCCAGACTATCATAAAAAACACTTATGCTAAGTGACAGAAGAGGGTTAAAAGTGAATTGATAAGACTCTCTTTGGAAAGATACTAATACCATTGAATAGCAAAATGAATTTTTGAAACATAAGTTTGAGCCTTCATGTATAGCAAGCACTGTAAGTATAAGTATCCCAAGATTTATGGATAAGTATTGGTACTCTTAATTACAATTGTGAAGAGAGATAGTCTTCTGGTTTATTGTCTAATAGTCATCCTCAGGTCTGAAAAACAAATTGCTGGTCCAGTGTTATGTTTGTAGTGTTGTTTAAGGTTGTGTGTAAAACAATGCTACTTTTTGAAAATGAGGCTTTAAAGTTTGGAGCATCATTGTTTCATTTCTGAATCAGCTCTTCATAAACTTTTAATAATTATTAAACTCAAGTAAAAAGAGAGATCAATTGCAGGTTTGTGGTATAAATAATGACCCAAATCATGTCTTAAATAATGTCTTCTTTCAGCAAATTATAATTTGCTGAATGTTTAATGATTAGACTGGTCTACCAAAAAAACAAAAACCTTTTCTATTACAAAAACAAAACACTCTTTTTCTGGAAGGTAATTTGCCTCTCAATCCAGATCTAATTTCAGAATTTTTGTAACTGCCTCATTTTCCATGTGATCATCGTTTTTTTGCAAATGCATGTTCTTCCTGTGTATTATATGTATCTGGCAAAATGTCACACTCTAATAATAACAGATTCAAAGTATACATTAACTGCAACACCATAAGTGTTCAGAAAAGTGACAAAACATACCTAAAAATATTTCCTTCCCAATTTCTTGCCATACTTCGCCTCATCATACCTTCGCATCTTCACAAGTTCCTGCAGTAGTCGGACAACATTGCACCATTCAAATTGCCATGAAAACACTTTTCCCATTTGACGAGTGTCCTGGTGGAAGTTGTAATGTACTCGATATCACTACAAAAAAACTATGTTACTTTGCTGGGAAAAATATTTTGAAAAATGTATTGATCACAAAATGATCATGATCAGAAAAAACACTTGGTTTTATACAGGGGGAAAAAAAGATTCCATCCTTAGAGTTGCCTAGCTAAAAGCTTAGACAGTTGCTTCGACAAATTTAAATCAAGAATAAGATCGTTGAGGTCCCCTTAAGACAATAAAAAATGTTGTTCGTTTGAGACTCAGGAGGTCTGAAATGTTGGGCCAGCATGGATATCACAATCTTTGTCGTTTAAATGTTCATCACTGTATCATTCATCTTCACTCAGTCACATTCTCAGGAGGCAGCGGTACCAAACTTATAACTTACAGGCCTTAAAGCAGGGAGTGAATCAGGATATTTTACTTCATTTTGAGGTGATTCCAGCTAGTTTTCACACAGAAATAAGTCTTGTGTGATCCTTTGGTTCCCTCCAAAACCTGGGAACTGCAAATGGCATGTGTTGTGTACCTTTTAGCCAGCATATGACGCACCGTATACATGGGGGTTCATTTAAGATCCTGTCGCCAACCTTACACATTTAAAGTTTGTAACACTTCCTAATCAGAGCAATAAGGTTCACTTTTGCGATTTGAGTTAATTCTCCATGTATATAATGAAATGGATTGGAGGCTACTTACAAGTTGCGAGGCTTTCTTCTAAATTATTACAAACCACAAACCTTCATATCACCTATGACCAAATCGCAGTCACATCCAAGCATTTGCCATGCTATCAGATGGCTCAATTCTGGGACATAAACAACAAGAAAGACAATGCAATTCTATCTGTTGTAGCATGACAATTATATCAAGCATTGTGATTATAGCAATTATAGCTATTGTAGGAATTTCTTGTTTACTTTTTGATTGTTCCAGAGCAAATAGATCTGCAGAATAAATAAATGAAGCTGCAACGAAGTAACGAATATGCAGTGTTTTCAAGCATTTTGGTTAAAGGGAAGTAGCGTGTAACAAGAAAACTGAGCCAGATAGGCAAAACTTGATTTCATGTTCGAATTCAGGTCCAAGTCTTAGCTTTCACCAACGTTCAGCTTCTTTGTTACAAAAATGCTCTTGACAAGAACATATAGGAAATAACATATTGAACTAGTGGTGCTACAGAATGGCATAGACTTTCTTGAACGTTAGTTTTCTAATTTCTTTGGTCTGAGATCTCCATCCAAAATACAATTTTTCACATTTCCTTAATTTTTCGGTCTTGTACGCAGAACTGAAATATGACTTAAAAGATATTGTAGAAAAGTAAAACCTTGTCCTTTATAGCAATTTTAGTTGAAAAACTGGAGCCGTTTTAGAGAAAATGTTTGAGCGTTTCTGGAAATTGGAAATTTGAAGCTTGTTTTTACACAAAACTTTTTATGAAACACGAGAGTTTTCATAAAACTTCTATAAGAAAGTATTTGAAGCAATTGTATTTGCAAGTAATGTATGTATATTTGTACTAATATAAATATTTAGTGTGAAAAATATTTCAAGAAAATTAACTATCTGTAGATTTTGGGGGCGGGGGGGGAGAATACATCAGTGGGATGCAAATCATGTTATTCAGTCCATTTAGTACAGTGTGTCCCGTTTTAGAGGAAATGGAAATAATGTGAAAATAAATGCAATAATGTGTAAAAATTTAGCGACTGATGTAAATAATAACAATGTGAGAGACAAATCAAAAAATTACA